TCTCTAGAGCCTGCCCTGCCTGAAAGGACTCAGATACAATAGCTCATGACTAGATCACTAAGTGCCTGTCCCATCACCCTCTCTATCCAGAAAAAAAAATGATCCAGTGTAGAAATCTTTTCAAGTGCATTTTGTATGTTTATTTGGCTATATGATTGTTTTCGGTGCTGCTCTGAAATATTTCTAAAGTGGCCAGTGTTTCTGTGTCATTAATGTAAGAACATAAGAACGGCCATATTGGGTCAGACCAAAGGTCCATCCAACCCAGTATCCTGTCTGCCGGCAGTGGCCAGTACCAGACGCCCCAGAGAGAGGAAACACACCAGATAATCATCATATGATCTCTCTCCTGTCATCCACTTCCAGACAAAGAGAGGCTAGGGACACCATTCCTACTCATCCTGGTTAACAGCCATTGATAGATTCATAGGGTATGTCTACACTACCCCCCTAGTTCGAACTAGGGGGGGTAATGTAGTCATACGGAGTTGCAAATGAAGCCCGGGATTTGAATTTCCCGGGCTTCATTTGCATAAAGCCGGCCGGCGCCATTTTTAAATGCCGGCTAGTTCGGACCCCGTGCTGCGCGGCTACACGCGGCACGGACTAGCTAGTTCGGATTAGGCTTCCTAATCCGAACTATCTGTACACCTCCTTCCTAATCCGAACTAGCTAGTCCATGCCGCGTGTAGCAATAGAAAGTTTAATTACAGCTCCTGTTACAAGTGCCACAGGCAGTAACAAATGCCATCAGGAGCTCACTCTCAATACATTTCTGAGTCAAAATTCACAAACTGTTGTCACAGTAATCCTTAAACTGTGAGTTGCAGTCAGTATTGACAAAAATACATACCACGTCTCCACACATTTCATTAAAGTCTGTACAAAATTCACAATACATAATGCTATAGCTGTCCCATAAGCATTACAGAGCACCATCCCAAATATCATTTAATGCCCTCTCTTGTATGGGACCATTTAAACACATTACATGGGTGCACAAAGTATCCCTAACTGCCACTGTGCAGGAAGATTCAGCACTAGTCACAATCAGTGCATTGTCTGATTGCGTGTACTATCCAGAAATTCTGCAGGTTCTAGAGTTCACTGCTGGCTAAAAATTCCTTTTTTTTTCTTGCTGACACCACACAGAACATTGTGAGTCAGCAGGGTTCCCAAGAATAACAGCATGAACAACTATTTATACAATTTTTATAAAAAGGACCTGAGGATTTCAGTGGATGAGAAGCTGGACATGAGTCAACAGTGTGCCCTTGTAGCCAAGACGGCTAAAGGCATATTAGGTTGCATTAAGGTGAGAATTGCCAGTTGATCCAGAGATGTGATCATTCCTCTTTACTCGACTCTGGTGAGGCCACATGTGTCCAGTTCTGGGCCCCCAATTACAGGAAGGATGTGGATGCATTGGAGAGGGTCCAGCGGAGGGCAACCAAAATGATTAGGGGGCTGGAACATATGATCTACGGGAGAGGCTGAGGGAGTTCAGTCTATTTAGTCTGCAGAAGAGAAAAGTGAGGGGGGATTTGATAGCAGTCTTCAACTTCCTGAAGGGAGGTTCCAAAGAGGCTGGAGAAAGGCTGTTCACGGTAGTGATGGATGGCAGAACAAGAAACAATGGTCTCAAGTTGCGGTGGGAGAAGTCCAGGTTGGATATTAGGAAAAACTATTTCACTAGGAGGGTAGTGAAGCACTGGAATGGGTTGCCTAGGTAAGTAGTGGAGTCCCTATCCCTAGAGGTATTTAAGTCTTGGCTTGACAAAGCCCTGGCTGGGTTGATTTAATTGGGATTGGTCCTGCCTTGGCAGGGGGCTGGACTTGATAGCCTTCTAAGGTTTCTTCCAGCTCTATGGTTCTATGATTCTATAATGTCATTTGATGGGAACAACAGCCCAGCTTGTCCATGAAGGTAAAGTCTTGATCTTTCAAACTTCCTGGCATCACGTGCCCTGCTAGCATAGCACTTGCATAATGATGTAGTAGAACCCTCTGCAGTTTACATATTCATGGGCATCTTGCAGAGGGCAAACTAAAGGCACATGAGTCCTATCATGGTTCCGGCACTGCTTCGAAAGCCCATTCTCTCAAAGCAAGCAATTACTTCAAGAACATCTGTAATGCACACCTTCTCAGGGTATGTCACAGTCCTGGTTGCCTTAAAACCCTCTGCCACAACATCCCCCACAGTTGATTTGCCAACTCGGAATTGGTTAGTCACAGACTATGGCAGAGTGAGGTGGCCAACTTGCTATAGTAACCTACTTCTGAACTTCAGGGGTCTCCTTTACGTGGATGTCCTGTTCCTGGAGAGTTGAGGCAAGCTGATCCCAAACCTCCTGGTGCTTTATGTGAACATGCTGGACCCACTATTGGTCATTGCTGGGCCACCTGATGATGTGATCCCACCCGATTGTGATCATGGCACTGCTCCAGAAGCACTGGTCTATATAAGGGGAAATCTGCAGCTAAGCCAACAGGCATGAGCAGCATCAGCTGGGTTGCTGCTGGCATGTCTCCTAACTGCTGCTGAAATGTCCATCAGTCTCTTGAACATGCCCTGCTGGATTCCCAAAGTAGGACTGACAGCATTAGACGGACAAGATCTTCCATTGGGTCAAAATCCATTTTGATGGCTCCAGCTGCTGGGAGCACGTGAATGCAAAATGGCTTGACTGGATGTGCTGGTAGACTAAAACCACCCAAAAGAATTCTGGTCATCTCCAAGACCCAGAGCAGCTTTGGCTGGTAAGGGCATGAGAACCCTGGGATACGAAGGTTTATACGCTCAGAAACTCAAGTTCTGACTCAGGTCTGCATAGTGCACTATGGATGTATCAGCACCGTTGTTTCCAGTGTAACATGGACACCCCAAGTGTAGGCTTGGTACTACTGAGTCTGCAAGCATGGGTCACAGAGACCCTAGACTTAGTGTGTTCTGTAGACATACCATTTTATAATACACTCTGGTTATAGTGGATCATTACTTTAAATCCGCAATACAGTTTTACATTAGCATACAATCAAATCATTTCTAGCCACTTAATGAAACATCCTAAAGGAAGCAGGAAATAAACACCAATTAAAACAGAACCTCTTTAATAAAATAAAGGTTCGCTTTGGAGACTGGGGGTTTTCTGCTTTCTATCAGATAAAGCTCCCATTTTTGAAGATTTCATTTTGTACTTAGATTATGCCTTCTCAGATAAGCTATAAAGCATTACCATCTGCTCTGCCAACAATCACATGATCCTATCACTAGGATTCCACTGAATACAAATCCTATTGACAACAACATTCCATGCATATGTTCCACAAATTGCTACAGCATTAGGAAGAGGGATTCCAGAATTAGAGGTTACTCCTGTCTTGTCCGGTGGGGGAGGTACAGCACACAGGAACACCATCCTGTCTATCCCCTGCTCCCATGCCAAAGTTTCCAGGCAACATGCTGACAGTGAGGCTCCCTGACAGTGAGGGTGGGGGTGAGAGGAGGAGAAATTGGCTCACTGTGCCCAGCCATGCTCTACAGCCTCAAGGGTTGAGAGCTTAGTCAGGGCCCCATGCCTCTGCATGCCTGATAGCATTTGGCAGCAAACTCTCAAGTCAGAGAGGATACACCTTTCACTAGCAGCTATAAAGAGCACTGTACGTTCCCCTTGCAGCAATCTCTGAGGCATTCTTTCCGTATCTGCTCTATGCAGACAAAATGGCCCAGAGCACCTCCATTTGGACACTGGTGTACTGCATGCTCCCCCACTGCATCCCTCTGAAGAGCAAGAACACAATTTGTCCCTAACACCATAACTGTATCTGGCAATAAACTCAGCTGAAGGTTCTGTCCTTAAAGCATCATATTATAATGCTAATATTATGAAATTTCATCAACTTAGAAACATTCCCTTGGCCTTTTTGTGGACTAGTTTAGTATAAAGATTATCCCTTTTCAAGCTTTCCAGTTTTAGAAGACAATTATCTCTTTGAATTCTGATAGAGGTTAAATTTTACCTTCAAAATAATTGACAGTTCATAATTTTGCATATGGAAGAAGACTTATATCATTCTAATGAGACATAGAAAATGGATGCTTTCATTGTTAAGTATGTGAGTCTCATTCTTTCAGGCAGTCCCCTGTATAAAATATGGTACAACTTTCTTATTTATCACCGAGGCAAAGAATTTCTATCTTATTTGCATTAATTGAATAGCTTTCAAGTAAAAAATAGAGTAAGAATTTCAATTGTGTTTGTTAATATTCACTTGCATAGAGTCAGCTGTTGTACGCTAACATTTATAGCCAATCAAAAAACCTAGGCCATTAATTTATTATTGATCAAAACTCCAGACATATGTCAATGTTATAGAACCTCAGCTAAATTTGATTTATTGATGTCTATATGAATTACAAGTCACAGCAACATTTATTTTATTTCTTTATTATTGTGGCTAAAATGGAATTTAATTTCTTAAACTGTATTGAAAGTTGTATTATTCAAATAATAACATGGGCAGTAAGGTTATGACCCGGAATATTATTTGTTAAGTGAGAAATCTGAAGGTGGGAAGAACAAAAGACTCAGATCTCTAGGGCTCAGAGCCAACAATAACTTGGACCACACACTGCTCATTTCCATTTTTTAGCATCAATTAAAACTCAGAGTTTCTTCCTAGTTTGTAAGCTACTCCAATTGTTAGTCTAAAAGTAGCTTGCCCAAAAATTGCTCTAGAAAGATACTTTCTTTTATCAAATCAAAAGGGAAAGAATGATTCATTTTTTATGTGTATTGATGATAGAAGAATCCTAAATAGCACTTTATCTACATCATCACACTTGAAAAGAATGAAGTGCAAGCTAAATAAACAATGGTGATGAATGCATTTTTTTCAGGGGTGGTCCTTTTGGAAAATGCTAACCACATTAAAGAGGGTGGTTATTGAAATGTGTAATTAATTTGAAGTTTATAAAAGCTGAAGCTGTCATTCACCTGAGCAGATGGTGGAAGAACCTTCTTGCATATCTGCTGATTGGGTCTCTATATTCCAACACAGTCGTATCCAACAAGGGTCTTACCGGAGCATAAAAGGTTCCCAGGCTTGCCTCAAGCTGTGCTGTGGAGTTCAAACATAGCAGCAATGAAACAAGTGAAACTGCTTCAATTACAACAAGTTGCTCATGTTTGTAGTCAGTCAGGTTTCTGAAACACAGCTGAAATGTGAGCTTGTTACAGGAAAGATGAAATTTAAAATACAGCAGACAAAACCTACCCTGTGTATAAACTTTCAGATAAAGTATCATTGACAAAGACGTTGAGCAAGAAAAAGCAGTCGAAAGTGAAGTAATTTATAAGGAACCTGCCTTTTGCCAGATATGCATAATTAAAACAGTGACTCATAAGAACAATACAGTTTGAACAAGTTTGTCAGTAAAAATCAACTCCTAATTAAATCAACTTTTCTCTTTCCTACCAAAGAAATTATAAGGAGACTCAACTTTTCAGGATTTACCATTTATGTGTTTGGTCACTGGGTGGTCACCATAGACAAGGGAGTTATATTGGTTTAAAATGATTGTAAGGGAGAAGACAATGAGGCCTTTCTTCAGAAGAATTTTTTTGTGAATTCCCTTTTGTTTTGATAATGGCACTTAGGGGTTTTATATTTTTTTAACATAAAATGTATTTTTCTTGCATTATTTATAATTATGTAAAGTGCTTGTGCCCTAAGTGTCTTGGAGAGGGTACTTTAATGATGAGTAACATTAATTTCCAAACATCTGGAAGATTATAAGGTGACAGGTAATGACCAGCACGAATTTGTACAAAACAAAGCATGTCAAACCAATCTGATAGCTTTCTTTGATAGGATAACAAGTAATGTGGATAAGAGGGAAGCAGTGGACGTGATATACCTAGACTTTAGTAAAGCATTTGATACGGTCTCACTTGACCTTCTTGTAAATCAACTAGTGAAATACAACCTATATGGGGCTACTATAAGGTGGGAGCATAACTGGTTAGATAACTATTCTCAAAGAGTAATTATTAATGGTTCACAGTCATGCTGGAAGGGCATAAAAAGTGGGGTTTTGCAGGGGTCAATTTGGGGACCAGTTCTGTTCAATATCTTCATCAACAATGTAGATATTGGCATAGAGAGTATGCTCATTAAATTTGCAGATGATATCAAGCTGGGAGGGGCTGCAAGTACTTCGGAACATAGAGCCAAAATTTCAAATACCTATATACTCGAGTATAAGCCGACCCGAATATAAGCCGAGGCACCTAATTTTACCCCAAAGAACTGGGAAAAAATATTGACTCGAGTATAAGCCGAGGGGACATTTTTCAGCACAAAAACTGTGCTGAAAAACTCGGCTTATACTCGAGTCAATATTTTTTCCCAGTTCTTTGGGGTAAAATTAGGTGCCTCGGCTTATATTCGGGTCGGCTTATACTCGAGTCAATATTTTTTCCCAGTTCTTTGGGGTAAAATTAGGTGCCTCGGCTTATATTCGGGTCGGCTTATACTCGAGTCAATATTTTTTCCCAGTTCTTTGGGGTAAAATTAGGTGCCTCGGCTTATATTCGGGTCGGCTTATACTCGAGTCAATATTTTTTCCCAGTTCTTTGGGGTAAAATTAGGTGCCTCGGCTTATATTCGGGTCGGCTTATACTCGAGTCAATATTTTTTCCCAGTTCTTTGGGGTAAAATTAGGTGCCTCGGCTTATATTCGGGTCGGCTTATACTCGAGTCAATATTTTTTCCCAGTTCTTTGGGGTAAAATTAGGTGCCTCGGCTTATATTCGGGTCGGCTTATACTCGAGTCAATATTTTTTCCCAGTTCTTTGGGGTAAAATTAGGTGCCTCGGCTTATATTCGGGTCGGCTTATACTCGAGTCAATATTTTTTCCCAGTTCTTTGGGGTAAAATTAGGTGCCTCGGCTTATATTCGGGTCGGCTTATACTCGAGTCAATATTTTTTCCCAGTTCTTTGGGGTAAAATTAGGTGCCTCGGCTTATATTCGGGTCGGCTTATACTCGAGTCAATATTTTTTCCCAGTTCTTTGGGGTAAAATTAGGTGCCTCGGCTTATATTCGGGTCGGCTTATACTCGAGTCAATATTTTTTCCCAGTTCTTTGGGGTAAAATTAGGTGCCTCGGCTTATATTCGGGTCGGCTTATACTCGAGTCAATATTTTTTCCCAGTTCTTTGGGGTAAAATTAGGTGCCTCGGCTTATATTCGGGTCGGCTTATACTCGAGTCAATATTTTTTCCCAGTTCTTTGGGGTAAAATTAGGTGCCTCGGCTTATATTCGGGTCGGCTTATACTCGAGTCAATATTTTTTCCCAGTTCTTTGGGGTAAAATTAGGTGCCTCGGCTTATATTCGGGTCGGCTTATACTCGAGTCAATATTTTTTCCCAGTTCTTTGGGGTAAAATTAGGTGCCTCGGCTTATATTCGGGTCGGCTTATACTCGAGTATATACGGTAATCTGGACACATTGGAGAAATGGTTTAAGGTAAACAGAATGAAGTTTAATAAAGTACTCCACTTAGGAAGGAACAATGCATTTCACACATACAGGCTGTGTTTACATTGGCACCCGTTTCCGGAAAAGGGATGCTAATGTAGACTTCGGAAATGCAAATTCCATGGGGGATTTAAATATATTATACCTAATTTCTTATTTCCTACTTATCCCCAAGCCGGAAAAAAGTGGCTGCCATGTAAATGCAAATGCCGCGGGGGGTATTTAAATCCCCCCCGGAATTTGCAATTCCGAAGTCTACATTAGCATCCCTTTTCCGGAAAGGGGTGCCAACGTAGACACAGCCACAGAGTGGGAAGTTACTGTCTAGGAAAGAGTACTGCAGAAAGAGCTCTAAGGGTCATAATGGACCACTAGCTAAATATGAGTCAACAGTGTGACGCTGTTGTAAAAAAAGTAAACATCATTCTGGGATGCATTATCAGGAGTGTTGTGACCAAGACACAAGAAGAAATTCTTCCTCTCTACTCTGTGCTGATTAGGCCTCAATTGGAGTATTGTGTCCGGTTCTGGGCACCACATTTCAAGAAAGATGTGGAGAAATCGGAGAGGGTCTGGAGAAGAACAACAAAAATGATTAAAGGTCTAGAAAACATGGCATATGAGAGAAGACTGAAAGAACTGGGTTTGTTTAGTCTGGAAAAGAGAAGATTGAGACATGATACCAGTTTTCAAGTACCTAAATGAGGAGAAGGGAGAAAAATTATTCTCCTTAATCTCTGATGATAGGTCAAGAAGCAATGGGCTTAAATTGTAGCAAGGGAGGTTTAGGTTGTACATTAGGAAAACATTCCTAACTGTCAGGGCGGTTAAGCATTGGAATAAATTGCCTTAGGAGGTTGTGGAATCTCCATCACTGAAGATATTTAAGAGCAGGTAAGATAGGCATCTATCCGGGATGATCTAGATCAGTGATTCTCAACGTGGTTGGCAAAACCACTTGGAGAAACCTTCTAATTGTCCGCTCTGGCATGTTTATTTACCGATGCCGCATCCATGGAGCCCCCCGGCTTCCCTTGGCTTCAAACGGTGAACCGGAGCCAATTTCTGGCTGCGGCGCCGTTAAGTAAATATGCCGGAGCGGCCAATTAACAGGTTTCTCAAAGTGGTTTTATGAACCACACTGAGAAACACTGATCTAGATGGTTCTTGGTCCTGCCATGAAGGCAGGGGACTGGATTTGAAGACCTCATGAGGTCCCTTCCGGTTCTAGTGTTCTATGATTCTATGCATTTTTTTATATGATGTGATTGTTGCCTGGGAGTCAGGGTGATATATATGTTTTTAAGTGTAGACCAAATGATGTATGAAAGTCTCTATCTTTCTCAAATCACTGAAAGAATTTGATACAGTGGAACAGATTCTCCTTTTAAGATGGATATACAAATCCCACTATTATTAATTAGAGCTTTGTGTCTGCATTAAAACAGAGTACTCCCAACCCACTGTCTCATTAGGCAAACAAAATCTCAATTTACTGCTATTAACATTTGTTTGAACTAGCCATTTCTGTATTTACTGATAATGGCTTTTTAATTGTATGCTTGCTTACATTTTATTGTATTAGGTTTGATAGCACTAAATGTTCTAATAATGCAGCCTTATAAACATAGGCAAGGTGTTAGCAAATTAGGTTTTGCATTATCTTAAATCTAAACAGTCAGATAAGATGAACTTTAAAGGTGTTTTCTTTCAAAGCAGCAGTCAATTTAGATTAAAATTGAATACAGAAATGCTATTGCAAAAACAACCCATACTCTCTTGCTATTGCTGTTTTCCTGACAGCATGTTTTGTACTTCTGAAATGTGGCAGCCTACGTGGAATATGGGTAACTACTAGCACAGTTATAGATTCATTAGAGAGCCCAGCTTGATGTTGGAGGCAGAAATAGAGATCTCAAAGATAACCGCCACACTGCTACAAATAAAAGGGCTCACTGGGTTCCACTAATAAAAATAAAACAAATTACCATGTCAAATTTGTTAGATTCATATAGAATAAATTCACACTGGAATAAAAGTCTTTCTGTCATAAGACAGCATTAGGCTGCTACATGGGGAGAAAATACACAGACATCTATTTAGAATGTGCATATTTTCATAAGTTTCAAGAGCAACCTTTTTTTTCCACTGGTTACTTTACAAGTGCCCATTAAGAGAAGATTTTAGTGCTGTACATTTGTGGAGGGGACTTTATGGAAATCTCACTTGCATCTCATGCGGTAGAACAGGATTGTCCAACGATGGTTTGAGAGCAAGCTGGGCAGCTTACAATTTTTCTAAGATCTATGATCACCACATCCACTAGCCCCAGCCTTTCTTCCCATAAAGATGAGCCTGTTACACAGTTGTATTCTTGCTGGGCCATAGCATGACACCTGCTCACTCTAAATTTTGGAGTCTATTGCATTCCAGGATACAACTCAGTGGGAAGCCATTACACCAGCATCTAGCAGAGATGAGGCTGAGTTCATTCTTCCATGTGGGGGAAGTCAGGAGGCACCGTAAGGGGATAAGTTGGTTACAGTGCAGAGAGGGCTAGGAGGAGATACAAGGACTGTGGAAAGATGGCTCTTAGAATAATATAATACTAGAACTAGAAGGGACCTCAACTAGTCATTATGTTCAGTCCCTTGCACTCAAGGCAAGACCACACATCATCTAGATCAGGGGTGGGCAAGTTACCTCTTATGGGCCAGATCCGGTCCAAGAAGCCACTGGTTCTGGCCTGCAGACATGCTGCCAGGACCCTAAGGCATGCAGCAGCTGCTGATTTAAGACCAGGGCTGCTCCATGTGGCTTTGTGCTCTGGAGGAAAAGGGAGGCTTCGTGTGATAGTCCTGCCTCCAGTCCAATCCTCAGCTCCTACTGCAGGGGTAGCCAACCCGTTGCAGATGAAGAACCAAAATAGTGGTGGATACAGCGCAAAGAGCTGAGGGAAAAAAGTTGTTCAGAAAAAAAAAAAAAAAGCCCCGACGTGTTTGATTGAACAAAAACAATTTTTTTTTTTAAGAGCAGGCATTGCCAGTTTAAGGTGACCATTCTGAAAGCGGCCATTTTGAACTCTGCATGGAACGCCACAACTTTGTCTCTTTCAGACAGAAACATGTTGCCCCATTCAGAGCCGCGGGACTCAAGCCATGAGTTGGCCACCCCTGTCCTATTGGCTGGAAAAAACTGGGGCATGGGACAGTGCAAGGCTCTCCCCCTCCTGGAGCTGAGAGCCACATCTAGGGAGCAGTCTGCAGTTTTAAGCAGTCTGGGGGCTGCAGCAGGCAGGGAGCCCAGCCTGCCTTGGGAGTGCTTCAGGGCTGCTATCTGGGAGATACTTAGGTAAGCGCCTCCCAGCCAAAGCCTGCCTCTGGCACCTCTGCCCCTCCTGCACCCCAACTCCTTTCCCCAGGTCACCATTCAAACCCTCTAAAACCCCTTGCACCAGGTCAAAGCTCCCTCCCAGACCCTGTACCCCCTCCTATACTTCTTCCCCAGGCCAGAATCCTCTCCTGAACCCATACCCCCTCCCTGAGCCTACATCCCTATCCCCAATCCACTTCACAACCCCTTCCTTCACCCAAACTCCCTCTCAGATTTCACACTAGCTCCTTCACCCTAGTCCCTTACCCTGTGCACCCTTTTGCACCATCCTAGACCCTGCACCTCCTGCACAGAAAAGTGCGGCCTTTGACCACTTTCCAAAATCTTGCAGTGGCCCCCCACCAAAAATTATTGCCCATTCCTGATAGATGTCTAGCCAACTTGCTCTTAAGTATCTCCAGTGATGGAGACTCCACAACCACCTTAGGCTATTTATTCCAGTGTTTAACCACCCTGACAGTTAGGAAGTTTTTCCTAATGTCCAACCTAAACCTCCCTTGCTGCAGTTTAAGCCCATTGCTTCTTGTCCTGTCATCAGAGATTAAGAAGAATAATGTTTCTCCCTCCTCCCTGTAACACTCTTATGATAGGTACTTTAAAACTGCTATCATGTCCCCTCTCAGTCTTCTCTTTTCCAAACTAAACCAACCTAATTCTTCCAGCCTTCGTTCATAGGTCATGTTTTGTAGACCTTTAATAATTTTTGCTGCTCCGCTCTGGACCTACTCTAATTCCTCCACATCTCTGAAATGTGGTGACTGGAACTACAGTTGAGGCCTAATCAGCACAGAGTAGAGCAGAAGAATTACTTCTCATGTTTTGCTTACATGACTCCTTTTAATGCATTCCAGAATGATGTTTGCCTTTTTTGTAGTAGTGTCACTCTGTTGACTCATATTTAGCTTGTGGTCCACTATGACCCCTAGATCCCTTTCTGGAGTACTCCTTCCTAGACAGTCACTTTCCATGCTGTATGTGTGAAACTAATTGTTCCTTCCTAAGTGGAGCACTTTGCATTTGTTCTCGTTGAATTTAATCTTATTTACATCAGACCATTTCTCCAGTTTGTCCAGATCATTTTGAATTATAATCCTATCCTCCAAAGCACTTGCAACTTCTCCCAACTTGGTATTATTTGCAAGCTTTATAAGCATACTCTCTATGCCAATATCTAAATTGTTCATGAAGATATTGAACAGAACTGGTTCCAAAACTGGTCCCTGTGGAACCCCATTTGTAATGCCTTTCCAGGATGACTGTGAACCGTTAATAACTACTCTCCGAGGTCAGATCTAAACTTGTAGGGAACATCAAATGAGGATACGTAACTCCAGGTACGTTAATTACATAGCTGGAGGCAGCGTACCTTGTTCTGCATTTCCCCGCAGGACAACCTGGCCTCCATCTTGGTGCCCCTTCTTCTCCAGGCTTTTGGTGCCAAGACGGAGGAAAGGGAGGAAACAGGGAGTGCCACATGACAGTAAATCTGCCCAGCACCTGGAAAGCATATAGGGGAGCGTCTGTCACTCTGACAGGGCTCTGTGTCTTTGGATGCTGTGCAAGCAGGTCATCCCAGTGGGGCACAGAGACCTCCCACAGTGAGCCAGCCTTGCTGAGAGCTAGAGCCAGGGGAGATAACATCTAGAAGGGACCCTTTAACTTACATCCACACACAAAACCAGAGAGAGAGTGTCTGCATACGACACACAGAATGGCATGGGACAGAAACTGAGAGAAGTCCACTTACCTGTTCCAGAGGTTCCTGGAATCCAGTTACTGACATTCCTGTGTCATCCAAGTGTCTGAAGGACATAGTATAGTCCTTCTCTATTGTCTTGTTCCCCTATTGTAAGGGTCTGAGCTCTGGGGTTCATCCCCTATGGTAACATCTATGCTAACATCCGAGCCACTATTGTTATGTTGCAGGGTGTCCTAGTTCGTTTATTTGTGTTATCTAATAAAGATCCTGTTGTTTAATCTGCCTGCGTCTCAACCACACTAAACACCGATGATAGATGCGGAGGGGGTAGAATACTGCAGACAGCCCATCTTCTGACCAGTAAAATCATAGATCTAACTGTTTCGGGCTAACATATTCATTGCACAAGCAGGAGTACTGGCAGCCGGCAGGGGTGTCTTCTGGGTTCAATTTAGTGAGTCTTAACTAGATCCGCTAAATCGAACTCTGGAAAATCAGTTACAGCAGTGACGATCTTCTGTTTAGTGTAAACATGGCCTGAGAATGAAAATGGTTATCAAACCACTCCTGAATTGAAAGACTGCCCTTTTTGCAAATACTCCCAAATTGAACTAAATAACTCCTGTGCCCTCCAGTCATGATGCCCTTTCTTAATTGGGTGCTGCTTCCAAATTTTAAAATATATAAATACATATTTGAGTCTGTGTTGACCAATGTTAGTCACTGATTTCAATACAAGAGAGATACAAATGTGTGTGTATAAATATTACAATATACATGCATACATATACACATAGGTATAATAATTATTGTATCATATAGTATCATAGGCATATCACAAAGATGATGTATATCATGCAATATATATTTAGGTATATGTATATATTACATAATGCATGTATTTTTACAGGGCTGGCCCACAACATTTTGGCACCTGATGGGGGGAGCTCAAATGATGCCCCCATGCCACCATTTTCCTGCCTGCCTGTTATTTCTCTTGCGCCCTCCTTCCTCCAGCACAGCACTCCACCATCTCTGTGCATCTAGAGCAGAGAGGATACATATGCACCAGCAGCAGACACAATTTTCTATACTCTGGGTCCTAGTGGCGCCCCCCCCACAGTCTGGCACCTGAGGTGGCCACCTCAGTTCGCCTCATGGTAAGGCCAGCCCTGTATTTTTACACCTTTCTTCCATTAATATGAATTAAAATACAATTAATATTTTTGTATAATCTTATTGAAAATATCTCTAGAATGATGACCTTTAATGACTTTACAATGATGTTTGATTGCAGAATAGCAACGCGTAATTTATACCTAGTAAATATTGAGCCTTCTTTTTAAAGCTAGTTGTATGATCCCAGTAATTCAAGCAGAGATTTTAAACTATAAGCATAAATATTGATGAAATACACCCAAACTCTGACCTTCTCTCTCTGGTGTCAGCTTCTGTCTAAGAAGGTGATTTACAATGGCACTCATGCTCATGTAACACTGATGACCCATAGTGTCCCAGTTCATGCTGCTCAGGACACTAATCGCTTCGGATATCTCATCGTAACGAACATACTGGTGGATGATTTCCACAACTCCCAGCTGTCCTCTTGTGATGACACCTGTCATAGGAAACATTAAAGCCAAGGAGAGCACCATAACATTGTAGATCAATAATTTTCTGTTTTTCTGCCATAACAATGTTGGTCCTTATTAATTCAGGTTTTAACTAGTAAATGAGCTTTATGTTTCAATATTGTACTGTGCATTTGTACAGCACCTTTTATCTAAACATATCTAGCCTCAATATGCTTTACATTGCGCAGAAAACTCAAGTGAAATATGGGGCGGGGAATGTGGCATATGCTTACCAGCAACAACAGCACTACATAATGGTTTACATTATTTGTTTATTTTAAATTATTTATAGGCCTTTCTATAGTGTTCATCACAGTAATAACTGAACTTCTCACATATGTTAATAAATTAATTTTTACAATGCTTCTTCCGTTGTAAGGAGGTAGTGTTGGAGAAAACAGAAAGCAAAGAATAGCCTAAACTGTTTTTACATACACCTACAACTGGTCAAATGGCACAGCTGCACCAAGATTAGAGAAGGAGATTCTTGCTAACTTAAAATGATTACTTCTTAGAACAGCTGGTTCAAAAGCACACAAAAGAGGCTATTTCAGCTTAGTCTTAAGTAACATACAGGAGTTAATTACAATTGCTGAGCTACTAAGTAATAGTGACTAAAGTACAATTAGGTTCAACATGCTCAGAAGCAAAAGGCAACACCGTGATTAAAAAAAACTTTAGAAAGGGAGAATTCAGTCAAATAAGATGGCTAGTCAAACAACCCCTAAAATCAAAAAGAAAGGAAATAAAATCCTTACAGGTGGCATGGATATTACTTAAAAACAATAACAGATACTCAGGCATGCATTCCACCAAACAAAGAGGGAACTAAAATGGTAAACTGCAAGCCAATGGCAAGGTTCTAGAAAGGCTATGTGAACTAAACAGAAATCCTTCAATATTTGGAAATCTTACCCTAGTGAAGCCAGTAAACAGGGGCCCAAAGGAACAGCAATATGTAAGAGGTAAATTAGAAGGGACAAAATGGATTCTGAAGAGCAAATAGCTGAAAGTGTAAAAAAACAATAAGAATTTTTTTAAAGTACAGGCAGTCCCCGGGTTACGTACAAGATAGGGACTGTAGGTTTGTTCTTAAGTTGAATCTGTATGTAAGTCGGAACTGGCATCCAGATTCAGCCGCTGCTGAAACTGATCGGTTTCA